CGCCGGGCGCCTCCTCCGGCAGCGCCCTCCCCACCCCGCCTTCCCCCTCCCCAGGGGGCTGGACCCCTGCCCGGAGGAGGGGACCCCCTGCGGGGGGCGAGCTGGGTGCCCCGATCCCCGGGATGGGGGTGAACCCCATCCGCTGGCTGCCATCCCTGTGGAGCAGCTCTTCCTCCCCCCAGGGACCAGAGGGGCCCCAGGTGTTGGTACCAGTGATGGCGTCACTGGCCAGAATGGTTGCCACTGTGGAGAGGAGGGTGGCCCTCCAGGGATGCTCCTCAACCGGCATGGCACCGGACCACAGCACCCGGCCGAGGTGGGAGCAGCCCTGGGCAGACCCCGCAGCATCGGGGCAGCCAGTTCCCCCAGTGCCATGGAGCTGATGTACCGTCCCTGGTGCCCACTGACTTGGGGACGGTCTGGCCCAGGACAAGGTGCCTGGTGTCAGAGCACTGGGACGGGGTCTCTGCCACCATCCCTCCCGCTGGCACCGCTGCCGGGATCTGGCACCCATCCTGGCTCACACCGCTTCTGCGCAGCGTCCGGCTCCGCACCGCAGAGACGTCCCAGCCCCAAACGCCGCCCCGCTGCCCCTTGGCCTGGCTGCCCAGCTTCGCTCCAGCATCCCCTGTCCACACAAGCCAGGCCACTCCGAGCCCCTGCAGGCAGGGAGCAGGCAGGGAGCAGGCAGGGAGCAGGCCCAGCAGCAGCTGACCCACGCAAGTTTGGGTCTGGGGGATGCAAAGCCGCCGCGTGTGTCCCCGGGTCCCCATCCCTGCATGCCCTCTCCGAGGGATGCCCAGCGCAGCACAGCACCACCGGGCCCCTGCTCAGCTGTTTTCCTCCCAAATTGTGACGAATCTATTTACACTGAAGCTTTACAAATGTGTGTTAGGGACACATGCATCTCAATAAACGCGCTCTAATTAACAACTGATATTTATTCAGCCCACAGTAAATAAGCTGTCGCGGGCAAACCAAGCGACGCTGCTTTTGAAGAGCGGCTCGACTCTGCCATTTATTCAGCCGACAGCCCCCGAGATGCGGTGACAGAGCACTCGATTCTCCTGCGAGTTGCCTACTGTAGTAATTAAGGGTAATTAAAGCAAGTGGGTATGAAATATAACGAAATTTTTATAATTCCTGTTTATTGGACAATTATTCACCCCGAGCGGTTCTTTCTTTGTGACCGCCCAGCAGCACCGAACCCCACACGTGAGCACAAGCGGGGTTTGTCCATGGTGTGGGTGGGGGGAGCTGGGGCGGGTGGGACCTGCCCTCGCCCCCAGCACCAGGCTCGGCCCCACGACGCGGCCCCACAGCCCGACGCCGCCCCACAGCCCGCCCCGGCC